CTATCACCAAATTTCAGCAAATCACAGGCACCAACTGTTCAAACTGTGTTCAAATAAGGCAAAGACTGAGCTGTCACCAATCCAGCTGTCTGTACCTCATTTCTGTTTTCTGTAGGTCATTTTCCTTTTTCTGCCCATAAATCCTCTCCGACCAAGTGGCAGCACTAGAGTCACTCTGAACCTGTTCTGGTTTTGTGACTGCCTGATTTTAGACTCATTCTTTTAAACTCTTGTTAAATTTAATTTGTCTAAAGTTTTCCTTTCTTTTTTTCTTTTTTGAGGTGGGGTCTCACTCTGTCGCCCAAGCTGGAATGCAGTGACACCAACACGATGATCACAGCTCACCACAGCTTCCATCTCCTGGCCTCAGGCAATCCTTCCACTTCAGCCTCCTGAGTGGCTGGGACTACAGGCATTTATTTATTTATTTATTTTTGCACATTGCCCAGTCTGGTCTCAAACTCCTGAACTCAAGCAATCCTTCCTCCTCAGCCTCCCAAAGTGCCGGGATTACAGACATGTGCTACCATGCCCAGCAAGTTTTTCTTTGAACAGAAAACAACAAAAGCAAAAACAGTAGAACTAAAAAAAAAAAAAAAATATATATATATATACACATATATAAAAAAAAAATATATATATATATATATATATATATATATATATATATATATATATATGTAAAATTATACCAGGAGTTAAAGTCCAGCCATGGGCAACATAGGGAGATCTCTTCTCTACAAAAAAATCAGCCAGGTGTGGTGGTACACACCTGTAGTCCCAGCTACTCAGGAGGCTGAGCCCAGGAGGTTGAGGCTCCGATGAGCTAGGATCCATAATAAAGGGAAAAAAAATATGCTAAATATTCACAAAAGATTGATTTGTTCAACTTTATGCAGATACATTTGAAAATCTAAAATAAATGGATAATTTGTTTTAAGGAAAACATGCTTTATCAAAATCAACTTCAGAAGATTTTAACAATCTAAGTTATAAAATTACCACAGAAGAAACAAAGAAGGCCGGAAAGAGCTTTCCTCCCCAGAGAAAGCATCAGGCCCAAGCATTTGCAACTGGAAAATGATCAAATCTCAAAGAATGGATAATTTTAATGCTCCTTAAATTGCTCCAGAGTAAAAGGAAAGAGCAAATACTTCCAAATATTTTATGATGTCAACATAACATTGATTCTGAAACCAAACAACATTAGACACTCAGAAAATTATTGCCCACTCTTACTTATGAATATCAATGCAAAAATCGTAAATAAAATATTAGCAAACAGAATCAAGCAGTACATTTTAAAATAGAATATGGCCAGGCGCGGTGGCTCAAATCTATAATCCCAGCACTTTGGGAGGCCAAGGCAAGAGGATTGAGACCAGTCTGGGCAACACGGTAAGACCTCCTCGTCTCTACAATAAATCAAAAAATTAGCTGGGTGTGGTAGCGCACACCTGTAGTTCCAGCAACTTGGAAGGCTGAGGCAGAAGGATTGCCTGAGCCCAGCAGGTCGAGGCTGCGGTGACCGGGAGTGTGCCACTGCACTCCAGTCTGGGCGACAGAGTGAGACTCCAACTCAAAAAAAAAAAAGAGAATATAACATGATAAGTTTATTGCAGGAATAAATTGTATTTTTTATTAGGATGTATTATAGCTAGGACTATCACTTCAGTACTAGGAAGTCTACTGTCACAGGTTTTGTGGAGATTGCAATGACCAGGGCTAATATCTAACTCTGACCCTGTGGCATGGGGCACATTTTCTGGTTTTGAGGTTCAGGCTTCATTTTCGTTTTGGATTTCAACGATTAACTTCCAAAATATAACACAACACAACTCTATTTCCTGCATGTTCTGTATTTCTTGCTCCTGATCTAGCTCCCCACTGCTCAATCCCTCTTCCACCTCCCCCACTGGTCCTCCCCGCAAAGTCTTCCTGTCTTGACCTAGAATTCTCTGGGACTTCAGGTCCCTAACCTGCCCATCCTCCTCAATTCTCAAGCTCTTTGAGTGACTCTACTGCCCCACTTCTGCCATGATTGAAAAATAAACCTGAGTACATCTGATCCTGCTGTTTTCAGAGGGCCAGACCATGCCTCCCCCATGCTCTTGTCAAAAATCCTGCTTCTTTACACCTTCAATCATTTGACTTTATCACCCTCTCTCTTCCTTGTATCTTTCTTCCTTCTGCATTGCAGACACCACTCACAGTGAGGTAAAAAGTGTCCTGCCATGTTTGTGGATGGTATCCTTGTCCATGCACATGACCCTGGCTTCTCAGTTCACTCCATTCTGTCCATGGCTTCTCTGGGCACTGCACAATTGGCATAAGGGTGCTGGGTGGCCCTGCCTCTACTCCATGCTAGCCATCTAAATAGCTATCTGTCTGACTGCTATTACAAAAGTGCCATAGACTAGGTGGCTTAAACAATAGAAATTTCTTTTTCCTTTTCTTTTTTTTTTTTTTTTTGAGTTGGAGTCTCACTCTGTCGCCCAGACTGGAGTGCAGTGGCCGCTCCTGGCCACCGCAGCCTTGCCTGCTGGGCTCCGGCGATCCTTCCGCCTCAGCCTTCCAAGTAGCTGGAACTGCAGGCGCACGCTACCACGCCTGGCTAGTTTTTGATTTATTGTAGAGATGAGGTCTTGAATCCGCGGGCTCAGGCAATCCACCCACCTCAGCCTCCCAAAGGCGCGGGATTACAGGCTGAGCCACCAAGCCCGGCTTGGGGTGTCTTTTATAAGGACACTAATCCCATTCATGAAGACTCTGCATTAGTTTCACTAGTGTCAATAATCCCATTCGTGACCTGATCACCTCCCAAAGGCCCCGTCTCTGAACATCATCACACTTGGGACTAGGTTTCAACAAAGTAATTTTGGAGGGCCACAAACATTCTGTCTGTGGCACCATCCAGCCTCACATACTGACCTGGTCACTATCTACTGTTCCTATTGTCTTATCAGAAGCTCCTCTCTAGCTTGGTTTTTCAGTTACTCCAGTCAGATAAATAAATCTTACCCCCATCAGAACTGCCATCTGTTGCACCTACTACTTCCTCCCAACCATTCAGCTCTCTCCTTCCTTTATCTAATACTCAGATTTCATGATTTAGCATTTCACACACCCCCTGTTCATTCTCACAATTTCCTCTCTTCTTTACAGTGAAACCTCCTTGGATTTTCCTCTACCAAACCAAACCTTCATCTCTCTTCTTTTGTTCTTCCCTCTTCTTAGAGCAAAGGATGGTTGCCAGCTAGCCCAGGGTTTCCTCAACCTCAGAGCACTATAAATATTTTGGGCAGTTTATTCCTTGTTATGGAGCTGTCCCATACATTGTAAGACATCTAGCAGCATCCCTGGTCTCTACCCACTAGATGACAGTAGCAACCCCCAAGTCATGAAAACCCAAAATGTCTCAGACATTGCCAAGTGTCTCCGGGATGGGGGAGGGGGGCAAACTTTGCCCTGGTTCAGAACCACCAGTCTGGGCTCGGCCTCGATTTGTGCTGCGCATCTTGCCAGAGTAGGTTATTCTCCCTGGCTGCGTTCCTCCCTCCTCGTTTGATCCTCACTCCCTCAAATACAACTCAAGGTCATTCCACTCCAGCAGCTTTCAGTAAGGTTTTAAGCGACTTCCATATCAATAAATAAGTGGACATTTTTCAGCCCCTGGACAGAAGGCACACTGGAGGAGAACTCGGTGGAAGGACTTGAAGACCTTGAGTTTTATCTTGACCTTGTTTTGTTTGAGTTGCCTCTGATCATCCTGGAGGAGATGTTGGGTGGACATTGGGATGCTGAGAGCCGGGGTGATGGGGGTGGTCTGGGATGGAGCAGAGAAGTCTGGGTCTCCGGCAGTGTACCTAGGGACACACAGATACACGCGTATGTATGTAGCTAAAGCCATAGGTATGCTGAGGTCCCTTGAGGAGGCAGAGGGGAAGCCTAGAGCAGCAGTTCTCAAACCTCAGGATGCTTCAGAATCGCTAGAAGGGCTTGCAGTCATGCAGATTGCTGGGCCCCATCTTCAGAGTCTACCTACAGCAAAAAACGAATATCCTCGGTGGGCAGAGACTTTGGATTTTATCAAGTTCCCAGATGAGGCTGAAGCGGCTGTTCGGGGTACCACTCTTTGAGAACCACTGGCCTAGAGTGCCGAGAGGGGGCCCGGGTCGCGACCGGAGCGCTCCAACATCGATTATCCGCGAGCGGAGGAGGCGTCCTTGCGGGAGACCGAGCGCCGGCCCCGAGAAAGGGCTGAGAGCGGCGGAGGGCGACGGTGCCGAGCCCCGGGACTACACGTCCCAGGGAGCCCCGCGCCGGCTCGGGCGCGCCCCCCCTACGCTGCGGCGGAGATGCGCCGGTGGCAACGCGTGAACCTTTCACGATATACACCGACCCCCTGGACCCCCCCCCACTGCCCAACATGCAAAGAAACCCCATGCAAGTGGGAAGATTGACTTTTTGGAGTTCAAAAGGTCTCAATATAGATTGGCTTTGATTTCTCGCCTTTCTATCTTCAAGACATCTGTTGAGTCTCCTGTGAGCCACCATTTCTTCACATGGAAATTGAAGACTATCCATCCTCAAAGCATCTCACGGTGATTAGAGACATTGAATATTAAGGACCTAGCATGGTAACTGATAGGTTTTTAACATATGACAGCTACTATTATTGTTCATCATTGCATATTTTAGGGTGCCAATTCTTAGAGCCTTTCAGATAAACCCCCCTACCTTTTTGTAAGGCAGCAAACAACATTAACCCTACTTTTTCAAATTAACTTGAGTTTCCATCGTGTTTAGAAAAAGAGATCACAATGATAATGCTTGCTCTGTCTCTCTTTTAAAAAAATTTACAGTCTTTACACGTGATGGGTAATGTAGTACTTTGTGTCACCCTGCAA